GAGTCCGTGCCCGAGGCCACTGTTGTAACTGGTCGTCGATTGATCATGGATTCGATGCCCGAAATAATGATCTCGAAATCCTGAAGTGTGGGATATTCGTGCCGAGCACTTTACGTAGTGGTCGTTTGACTGACTGTACCATGCGCTCAACTGCCCCCTGTGTCCAAGGTGCTGCGGGAGTGGCGAATTTCCATTCGATGAAGGAATTTGCTAGCCATCTCTTGATGTCTCCTTCCTTGATATGTTCGTAAATAAGCTTCAATTCCTTTGCTGCCCTGACGAAGGAAGCTCCATTGTCGCTGAGTAAGAATCGAACGGAGGGGAATCTGTTTACGAATTTCTGAAGGGCGCCGAACACCTCTGCTGTAGACAAGTCTGTCGTGAGTTCCAGGTAGACTGCTCTTGATGCGGCGCAGGTGAAGATCAATATATATGCTTTTCCGACTTCGGCTGAATCTCGTTTGTAACGGAAAGGACCACAGAAGCCGGCCAACGTGTGGCGGAATGGTCGACTCCTCTCGATCCGAAATGATGGTAGTGCCGGTGTGGGAAGCTGCGCTGCCTTGCTGATGAAAATCTTGCATAACTGGCATTTGCTGATGATCTTCCTGCTGATACGCCGAGCGTGTATCAATAGGAAATCTTCCCTGAGGGCGTGGAGTATTGCTGAGACTCCACCTGAATGGAAGCATCTGTTTTCGTGAATGTCCTTCACGATTAGTGACGACAGATTAGAGTCTGCTGGAAGTAATATCGGATATTTTTCATCTTCCGTGAGGTCGCGAGTGAAGAGATATACGTATCTCTTCGATACCTCGGCTAGAATGATCACACGGAATACTAGAGTCAGTCTTGGGCTCCCCCTTAGCTGGCTGAGGTTTATTGTCCTTATATATAGCGAGTCACAGGAAAGGGTTGAACACAGAAGAGCATCCGAATATGGGTCACACTGAAAACACTGTGAACGGGTTAAGTGGTGACCGGTCAGTGACCGTTACGGACTGAGGTCTTCAGTATCTAGAGCGGAAGGTGAAGCGGACAATATTCATCATTCTCCCCCATTGGCCGTGTAGCCTTTCGCAGGGGTTCGCTCTGACTTCATTCTCTTTTTGGAATAAATCGCTGTTTCGCATGCGATGAG